GTGTTCCAAAACGTGACATTAATTTCTTGACGACATAATATATATATATGTATGTGTATGCAACCTTTCACCAGACATATATAACTTTCGTCGTTGGAGTAAACAGATATAATGAATGTTTTCAACGAGTAATCAGAAAAGTCGAAATAACAAAGCATCAACAAAGGTGTAAGAAGTCAATTAAAAGGGGGGAGGCAAGGTTTATTTGACCGAGCGAAGTGAGTGAATGTGCGCTACAGGCGCAGCGTACCCATTACGGCCGACGCCCAGGGCTCGCCATGGGGCTCTGAAAGTTCTTGTGTTCTGGATTAGATTTTATACATTCTCCTGCTTCTCATTAGAGTAACTTTCCTAATTGTGATGCATTTCTACTGGGACAGATTGAAAAGTGCCCCCCACCGTCTGCTCCCTATGCGAGTGATCAGTAAAAACTGACATTGGTGTACTAACTGAAAAAAAATATATACACAACGATGTAAACTACAAAATAGAACACGAACATTACACCAAAGAAATATATTGTGAAAATGTTTCACACATTAATTCAAAAATATTGATATTCAATATCATATTATTCTGTCGATTCCCCTTTCATGTCAGTGATAAGTTTACGTGTGTGTGTGTGTGTCACATCGGGCTACCTGCTGTGTCCACCGAGGGAAATCAGAAGACTTGCCACTGTCCAACTGGGGGACGATAAGTTTTGAACCCTAAAACCTGGGTTCAAATGAAAGGGGATTAGTTTGTTGTGTTTGTTTTAACACAAAGCTCTTCTCACGTGGAAAAGTCAGTGATAAGTTTACGACTTTGAACCCTAAAACCGGGGTTCAATTTTCCGCGTGAGAAGAGCTTTGTGTTAAAACAAACACAACAAACTAATCCCCTTTCATGTCAGTGATAAGTTTACGTGTGTGTGTGTCACATCGGGCTACCTGCTGTGTCCACCGAGGGAAATCAGAAGACTTGCCACTGTCCAACTGGGGGACGATAAGTTTTGAACCCTAAAACCTGGGTTCAATTTTCCACGTGAGAAGAGCTTTGTGTTAAAACAAACACAACAAACTAATCCCCTTTCATCTCGGATTAATCACGAACATTTTTTGTTTTTGTTTTGTATAAAATCTTGTTTCGAGATCCAACAAAAAAACTCCCAATCACACAGCGTATGTATATCTGTGGACTCACAACGATAGAAACCGGGTATCGATACCCGTGGTGGGCAGAGCACAGATAGCCAATTGTGGAGCTTTTCAAGCAAATAAAATTGAAAGTATAATTTTTCCTCCTCTAAGCCCTATAGTGTTTATGGTACGTTTTATAATTTCATTCCAGTACCGTGATTTAACTGAACGATTGGAAAGATACTTTCATTTTTATTCTGATAAGCGTTAA